AAGAACCCCTGATTTAAATATACGAATTGCGTCCTGTATTTTTTGGGACGCAATTCGTGTATACCTTTTTTACGGGACGCAACTCGGGTGATCCCCCCATAGCCTGGGCTACTTCGAGTGAAAGATCTACGGTTTCCTGTTCAACTATGAGGTTCTGTAGTGTCTCTACCCTCATGGAGTAAGATAAAATGTCTTCACCACTTCTTTGTTTAGTGGCATACAATTCTAAAAACAGTAAAAACAGATGTTGGGTGGTCGTTTGAGGTTCCAAATTCGTCTTGAGAGTTTCTCTTAACTCTTCCCACGTGTCAAAGGTTTTGAATTTGGTTATTTGTCGTGCCTTTCCAGTTAGCCTTGTTTGAATCGCATGTAATAATCGTGGTATTGCATTTTCTACCACACAATACACGACAAATTCACATTTTTCCTAAAAGTTTTCTAAATTTTCGGTATCCTTTCCATCGAAAGATTTTTGTAGTAATCTAATGCCATCTTGTAATCCAATTTGGTCATTTGCCATTGAATCACTTCGTCTTGGACTAGTATTATCGCTAATACTCATTATTTCTTGAACCTTCAGATCGATTAATCGGTTCAATTCTGCAGCGTTTGTGCCTTCCATTACTGGTGGCTGGTTGTAGCCACTACTCGCTCCCTGACTTTGGTTGGAATCCATGATTTTTGTGGAGTCTTGATTTAAAAACCACTTAATATTTGGGTTTGATTGCTGGGTCTCGTCACCCGCTGACCAATCCAAGATTTTCTCTTGATTGTCTGAATTTTCAATTTGTTCTGTAGGTGTTGGGACGTTGGTATTTTCTTGAGTTACGGTTAAACTTGTTTCGTGATCTACGTGGCTTAAACTCTGATCTACTTTGGATATTTCTTGAGTAACTTCTACCAGTAAATTATTCGTCGAGATAGGTAAATCAGCTTCCCTAACTAATAAATTGTCAACTGTTATCTCATCTACTAACGCACTGTATTAGGTTGGTTAGGATTGGCACACCTTATTGGCAAACTTACTCTATGAGAGGGGGTTGGTGAAAGAAGCTTAGCTGTATCAGCACCCCCGGGAATTTGACTCTGGTCCGGATTCTGGCTCATTAATTTTTTTTTTATTGAGCAACAAAATGGTCTGTACTCTTCTTTAGAACCTTGAAAAAAAACGTTGGGAAACATGTATTTACAATACTGTTATTTTAATAAGAATACTAAATATATATATTAATCTATACTATTATATAAAATTGTAAGGGTTTTTCTTAGACCRCGCTAACCGAGAAAACTACTGAACCGATTTGGTTGAAATTTTTTTTGGCTGAAACCCGACACTCCGCTGAACGTTATAGTAACACTTTTGTCAATAAAAAAAAAGTATAAAGTTCA